GTGAAAGGAAGCCTGCAGAACAATAAGACATTCCCTAGGCCTGGGTGGAAGAACTGGGGTGACCTAGACCACGAGGGACCTGGAATGTGATGCCAAGGCATTTGATCTTTCTCTGTAGTTGCCCAGTAAGAAAGCAGGACTGAACTCGATCTTAATCTCCCTACACCCCAAAACACCTCTGGGGAGCACAGGAATGGTTTCCCAACATAGATGGAGCCACACTCTTCATACCAAGATCCGGTAGAACTTTCTACAGTGATGGACCATCTGTCAGTCATCGCTGTTCAGTGTTGTGGCCACCAGCCATGTGTGGCCACTGAATGCTTAAAATGTGGCTAGTGTGGCTGAGGGAAGTGAATGTTAACTGTGATTTAACTATAGTTCACAACATTCCATTTAAATGGCTCCATGTGGATAGTGGCTGCAGTCTTGGAGCTTGGCAGGAGGCCGTGATCGGAACTTGGTGGGGGGAAGCAGGTATTGAGGGCTCCCCTGCAGACACAGAGTGATGAGGTGCATTTCAGGGAGGGAACCGACCTCAGGTAGGTTCAGATACCAGCTCTGCACTGGGTGCTCTGAGGAAAGGCCTTCTTGGAACGTGACCCGCATGCGTAGAACAATGAGCGAAGGGGGGCTGTTGGTGTGTGACGCAGTGCTGCCACCCTGGCCCAGCACTCTGGGGCCCTGCACCCTCGTTAAACACGTCCATGCGAACAGGTGTGTGACCCCACAGAGCGTGAGTCCAGCCTGCGCTGCTCTGCCTTCGGGAAGATGCCAGGAGCAGGCCAGACAGTCAGCAGGTCTGGTCCAGCTGCAGGAATGCACAGCCCTGAGAAGGACAGGATGCCGTGAAGGGTGGCCTAGACCAGGAGGCATCCCCTGGAGGAGCTCGTCGCACTGCAGCCCATGTTTCCCACTGGAGCAACAAACATCCGTGTCCCCCGAGTGGGAAGTCACGGCTGCATGGAACCTGAGTGACAGAGTAACGCAGTGGAGGCACAAACCGAAGCCACAAATCTCCATGATGCCTAAACACGATACAATTCCGCTACTTTATAAAAGGAATATTAGTGCATGGTATTGGTGCACATGGGCTCAGGAAAGGACGACCATCTCCCGTTGGCATATAGAAGTGCAACTCCGCTGTGCCGTTAATTAGGACCTCCACATACTGAATCAGTCAGTGTGAAAACACAGATTGAACATTCGAATAATAGTAGTTTTGCCTCTCCCTGAAATGTGAAGGGCATTGGAGGATGTTTTCATTTTTTCCCTTAATAATTGTCCCTGTAGCATAACTATTCCATTATCCCTTCCATCTGTCTGATGTCAAGTTCACAGCCTCAGTGGACCAAGAGGTGAAGTCTGAGGACACCACACTGAGCCATGCGTAGGCCCTGTCAGGCGGCCCCCAGGACACAGACTTGGGGACAGCAGCTGAGGAAACGTTTGCTGAGACCTAAAAATGAGAACCCTAATTTCCCCCAGTCCGTACGCCTTACTGCCTCACCCCAGTTCCTGAATCCCGACTTCAATATTAACCCGAGCCACGCCCTTCACGGCGCCGTCTCGCCGCTACCCTGTGGCTTGCGTGTTTAGAGGGGTGACGTGTGTTCACTGTAGAAAGTGCAGATCAGGAGAAAGTAGAGGGGCCGTGGTCCCTCACTCACAGCTGTCTGTGGCGAGCATTTCGACACAGATGCAGTTGCTTTGTGTTGTTTTCTGTGGCTGACCACACAATATTAACACACGGATTTGCTTTTTTTCAATTAATCCTTCCGACTGTTTCTTCATATTTTAACAGATGTTTCCAAAATATCGCTGTGACGTCCGTGGAGTGTTTCAGTAGAGGCCACCTGCATTTATTGAACTAGACCCCAGTAGGCAGTTTGTTGTTTTTCATTTTAAATAGCACCGTGATGAAGACCCCCACTGCAGTCGTTGTCCTTGCGCATCACCGTTTCTTTAAGGTGGGATTTCCCAGTCACAGCACAGGAACCTTTCTTAGGGCACTTTCTGAGTAGTGTCCAGTCGTTCTCTAGAAAGATGATCTAATGTAGTTGTCAGGGGTACCGCTGTGGAGATGAGAAAGACCAGCGTTAGAGCCCTGGTTCTGCAGTCTGGACCTGTCATTGGCCCACGACCTTGGGCAAGGTGGCAACAGCCCCGAGCTTCGGTGTCCCTGCCTGCCAGGTGGGCTGGTGGCGAGACCTGCCCGTACACCTGGCCGTGCGGAACAGACAGACGCCCGTTCAAGGCCGCCTGTGGTGAAATGCTTGCTGTAGCACCGGTTTACCCTCTGCCGGCGCAGTTTGGACCGTTCATTTCTACATTCTCTCCCAAACCGTGGGCAAAATTCTGTGTAAAATCATCAAGTTGACAAGTGAAAAAAGACATCTTGTAGTTTTAACTTCTGTGACAAAATACATCTTTCAAGCCTTCAAAAATAGAGAAATGTTTCAAGCGAAGGGATGTCTTTAGCAAACGTTTTTGCCTCCAGTGTCGTTCCTCCTGAGTGCCAAGTAATCAAATAAGCTCCAGTCTTCTTAGTGTCCGAGGGCACAAGTGTTGGTGATTGTGTCTGAGGGCACACGCAGGTGGTCTGGGTGGGGTGGGCTGGGGTAGGTACCGAATGATTATTAAATGTGATTCTAAAACGTTCTCCATCCACAATCTTGAGAAGTTGGATTTAGCTGTCCATCATTTATTTTAAATTGTACAAATAGCTTCATAAGATAACCAGTAGAAACAAAGAGAAGAAAAGGAAAACATTCACCAATAATCCTTTCGCTCAAATTAAATTTTGTGTGTTGACTTGTCTGCACAATTTCACAGAATCCCATGAGATGTGTTTTCAGATCACAGGATGCATCTCCTCGTGGAGAGAGTGGCTCTTTTTCATACAAATACTGTCACTGTTCCAGGCCCCCCAGTGCCATTCCATTCAGGTCCTCAAGGCCTTGGGGACAGGGAAGGGAACCCCCCACCCCATGGGCCAGGGAGGAGGGAAGATGACAGATGCCTTGGGGGGCGGGGAGTGAGGTAGAGACGCGATTAGAGTGCAGGTCCTGGGCAGCTGCGCGGGGCTGCAGAGTCCGCACTTGCATGCGCCGGGCGTGGGTCAGTCTGAAATGGAAACTGACTCCACAGAGGAAATGCTGGTCAGGAGGCTTCATACTCGGACACCGAGAGGCCGTTTGAAGGACCAGCTTTATTCGGCTCTTCCTGGACACCTGGAGGCTCCATGAGAATTTAGACACAGCACTGCGTCTCATACCAGAAAGGGTTTGCTGGTGCGTGTGACTTCTCAGGAGTCCTGTAAAGCCAGTGGAAGAAGCTGTTCAGAAATGCACCCGATGACCATGGAGAGGAGTGAGATCAATGTGCCTGTCCCAGTAATTATGTCCTAAGTGTCTGTCATCGAAGAATCTCTCACGGGCTGAGGTAGAAGGGGCTCTTCGGCTTTCAGATTGGTTCCTCCTTTGTCCCTCCTAGTTCATGCTCAGTGTTACTACAGTGTTGAACTGCAGTAACTTAGTGGGCATGCCAGGAGCCTATGAGTTCTTCCATATGGTTTGCACCATTCACTCCTGTTCAGAGCAGATGGCACACCGGCATCCACACCGAGCTGGCTGCTCACTCCCGGGGCAGGTGTGCAAACATGCCCCCGAGAGAAAACGGTGGCATCTTAACACTGCTCCGATCCCTTTCAAGATCATCTGTGTTCCCTGTCGTCTTGAATTAGGTTCTGTAAGGAAGAGGCTTTGCTGAGAAAGAGTGTGGCCAAATAAAGATGGTTTAATTTGATTAATCATGGCAACCTCTCACATGAATGTTAAGGCAAAATTGTTAAGAGTGAACTTGCTGGAAGGTGAAGATGAGGACGGTGGTGTGGGATGATAAAAAAAAAGCGCTAGTCTTCGAGTCAGGAGATGTCATTTAGTTCACTCCTTTGCCACTTACTCATGTGACTTGGAGCCCATCTCTTCATCCGTAAAACCACCTCTTCGTTTATCAGAGGCTGCTGGTACCCTGTTGACCTCACAGTGACAGACTCAGTCTGGAGACTGTGGAAGTACATACCCGTGTAAAGTCATCATTGTGTCTTTGAGGGCAACTTGTTTCGAAATGTGTTAGTTTGCATTGAAACATATCTCTGTTCTAGTCCTGGCTCATCGTCTCCATGTTGGAAGTTCCGCTAAGGAGACCTGGGCTCAGCCCTCTTCACCTTTCAGTCCAATTAGAGGCTAATCAGTCTGCTGCAAGTGTGGCTTCATTAGGAATTTGTCACACCTCAGCCTTAAAAATGGGGTGTGATGTCCCTTAAGAGACGAAGATTCGAGATGTTGCCGAGGGATTTTGTGCTTCTATTCCCTTGGCCACTAATTTCAGTTACATTGTAGCAGAACCTGCTCTCAAAGTTAAGTCGCCGGGAACGGCTGGCGGCTCTGTTCTAAGGGCTGCAGGGCTGCATTTCAACGTGATCCCCACCAGGCACACGTGGCTATTTATAGCTAAGTAATTGAAATTAAATCGAAGTCTAGGAAAGATTAAATTTCATAGCTAGGGATAGACAAGGCGAGTACATCCTTGATTTTCTTTTATTAAATAAAAAGAAAATTATGTAAAATAAAACCCCCCAAATTAAGTCAAGTAAAAAGTTTGGTTTTTCAATTACACTCAGTGTGTTCCAAGTGCTGCAAAATCACGCACAGACAATGGCTACTGCTTTGGACAGTGGAGATTATACAGTGTCTGTCACTCTAGAAAGTTCCGTCGGGTGGTTCTGCTCCAGAAGGAAGGGAATCTCCAGTCACGTCCAGAAGTCGCAGCCCAGGTTCCATGCAGAATTGGTATCCCATCGTTGGGTTCCTACGCTCAAAGAGCAACCTTTGGTGGCCAGTCAGGCTTCCCCAGTCACCCACTCAGCCCTTGTTGCCAGTCACATCCAGGACGTTGGATATTTTAAAATGTTTATTCCTCTCTGTTGGTTCCCATAGGTCCTGCGTGACTGACATGTGTGAGTGTCCGGTCCACAAGAACTGTTACTGCGAGTCATTCCTGGCGTACGCCCGGGCCTGCCAGCGCGAGGGCGTCGGCGTCCACTGGGAGCCTCAGCAGAGCTGCACAGGTGAGAGGGGCTGGCCGGCCCAGTCAGTGCCGGGGCGCGTGCTGCCGTGCCGGTGTCAGTCACCACGTCCCCCGCTCGGCCACAGGGAAATCCCATCTGTGGCCCAAGGATGGCAACTGAAATTTTATTTTATTTTATTTTTGGTTGATTGATGTTAGAGAAAAAAAGAAGAAAGGAGAGGGGTGGGGAGGGGGAGAGAGAAAAACATCAATTTGTTGTTCTACTTACTGATGCGTTCAAGGGCTGATGGATGTGCCCCGACTGGGGATTGAACCCATATCCTTAGTGTATGGAGATGACACTCCTGAGCTTCCTGACCCAGGCCTCTGAGGATTGCCACTTAATCCAACACAGGGGCTTCCCACTCGAGGCAGAATAGAAAGCACTCGAGAGAAATGCTTTGGGACAACATGTTTGAGCAATTTAAGGATTTCCACTGTTACAAAATCCTCCCAACCTCAAGCTAGCAGCTGGATGTACTTTGCACACAGTCAGTCACAGCTGTGGGTTGGGTTATATGGAGAGCAAGGAGACTCGGGGCAATTAGTCATTTAAGGTCTTTAGGATAAGTGTGATTTGTTTTTTTGAGAGCGAGATGGTGATACAAAGCCTAGGAGAATGTTCTGTAACAGTCGTTGAGCTCTTTGATCTCAGGCAAGTTAATTAGCATCTCTGATAGCTATGAAATGGACTTCTTTGTTCATCCAAGAAATACTTCCTACACAGTGGCTTACGTACCAGGCATCCTGCTAAGCACTGGGGGGACTTTGGAGACTTCGATAACTATGGTCCCTGTCACTGAGGTGCCGGCAGTCCATTAGAGAACCAGACAAAAATAGTGACACCACAATAAATACTTGCTGAGCATGGCCAGTGTGGTGAAGGAAAGAAACAGAATAAAGCAACAGAAAACAAATGGAGGGGACTGGGCCGTACCTACATGGTGAAGCGGGAAGTCTCTTCTCTGCAAAGGGGATATTTTGGCCAAGCTCTGAAGGACTGAAGGGAGCTGGAGGGCATTCTATGCAGAAGAAATGTATTCGGTGGCCAGAGGCAGGAGTAAGACTGCACACTCTCCAACTGGAAGGGAGCTAGCGTGGGCTGAGCACGGTGGGCTGAGCACGGTGGGCTGAGCACGGTGGGCAAACACAGAGGAGGGCGGGGTGGAAGCAGCAGGAGCTGCATCCTGCAGGGTGTTGCAGGTCTTCGGAAGGAGTGTAGCTTTTATTCCAAGAGCAGTGGAAGCCCCTCATGGGCTTTCCGCACACCCCTTTCTGCTTTTCAAAGATGGCCCCGTGTACAGGCGACTGTGTGGAGAATAGGTTGGAGGGGGCATGATGAAAGCAGATAACCGGGCAGGGGACTGTTGCCATAGTTGTGGTGAACACCCATGCCGGTGGCTTGAATTAAGATAGAGGCCATATCTATCGGGAGAGAAGCAGGCAGTCTAGATATATTTTGGAATTTTACAGTAATATCTACGATGCAGAGTTGCCAGCATTAGCGCTATGTATGTGAAGTTTCTGGAAGAGTGTCCAACTCATAGAAGATGCTCAGTCAACAGGAGCTGCTGTTGATGTTTCGACTTGGAGATGAGTTGACTGGATATTGATGACTTCCTTGAAGGGTTGGCAGGCATTTTTCTGCAAAGGGCCACATCTGCCTGGAACAGAGAGACTAGGGTCTGCAACATGATGCCGGTGTCAATAACCTCAGCTCAGGTGCTGGAGAAGGCCACTCACCCTGCTGCCAACACGAGAATGTCTCTGTTGGTGGAAGACCGAGATATGATATGACCAAGATAGATATGGCCTCTATCTTAATTGTCTGATTGGGGGAGGGGTCAAAAAGAATTGTCTGGAAGCTTTTTCAGGGCATGAACACCTCATTCATGTAGACCAGCGGGTCTTCATTTGGCTGCACCTTGGAGTCACTTTGGGAGCTTAACACAAAATAACAATAATGACAACAATAATAACAACAACTCAGGAGCCTGTTCCTGGGCCTTGTGCCCACACGTCCTCCTTCAACTGGCCTTGTGTGACTTCTAAAACCTTTCGGGTGGCTCTGACCCGCAGCCAGGATTGAAACCGCTGAGTTCATCAGAAGGCTTGTTTGGGTGGTTTTGGGGGACGTGGGTTGATGGGTATTCGGAGGTCAGTGAAGCTTCCTCAAGCCACCCCTGGATGTGGTCACAAGTCTGTGTCCCCAAAAAGCGCCAGAGCCCTTTTCTCTCCTCAGACTTCCCTTTTGGGTTTTCCCTCCTTGCAAACCCCAGTCCAGTCCTCACGTCTGAGTTCACCTTCCGCAGCACGAGCGGCTCTCCGTCAAGGCCACCCACCTCTCTGGGGACCACTGCTGTGGTGACCACAGCTCACGTGAAGGTGGGGCGGGGGCTCTTGAAGGTGAGACTGAATGGCTCGCCTGTTCCCTGAAGCATCGGTGTGGGTTTGTCTGGCCTGGGCCACGTTTTTGAGAGGTTGGGTCCCTTCGGCACATCTTGAGTTCTCCTATTGGATACTCCTCCATTCCGAGTCCTCCATCCCTGGAATGTTGGGCTCAGCAGAACTTTGTTAATGTTATTAGCTGTGGTGAGGGTCGTGTATTCATTTTATTAGCTGTGGTGAGGGTCGTGTTAGATACAGCATCTCTGAACTCTTCCCGGCCCAGAGCTATAGTTAGCACCATTTCAGCACACACATTGCATTTGAAGACAACGCATTTTGTGTCAGCTTCTGATGTCAGGGGCCGAATCTCAGAAGCTAAAATTACTTTTCTAATGGAAAGGGAATCTGGCTTCTGGAAGGTTCCATTTACCACTTACAATTCTAGAGCCATCTGAGTGAAGTATAACCCCATCCGTGTGTGGATTGCAGGGGACCTTTCTCTCTCTCTCTCTCACACACACACACACACACACACACACACAGAACTTCTGCAGATGAACAGCTGGGACGTGAGAAATTTACAGAGCCACGCAGCCACTCTCAGTAGATTCATTTCCGATGCATCTGGAATTCCGAAGGGTCTACGAACACTCTTTGCTTGTTTTTAGTCCCCGAGAAGAGAATTTTTCTGGAGTAAAAAGTTGGGGAGTTGAACAAATAAGAAACCAGCCAGGCTTGACACTCTGAACAAGGGACCTCCCCAGGGGGCCTGGACTTTGACACTATTGTGGCACCAGCACGAATTTGACTAGCGGTGGGAGGGAGGACCCGCGGAAGTGCAGCTGAGCCTGCGGATTGCCGAGCTCAGTGCGGCAGGCAGGGTCTGCGGAAGTCCGGTAACGACCACTTACATTAAGTTACCATTTTCTAAGTACCTCCTCGCCCAGAGGACTGCATTAGTACTTTTATTACATTTTATCAGTTTAAATCCACATTGTCATGTATTTGGTGACATTCTATTACCGGTGCTTTACTGATAAGGATATTGAGGCTAAGAATATTATAATAATTTGCTGAAAGTCACAGAGCCAGAAAAGGAGGAAGTTGGGAATTAAAGCCAGGCCAATTCGCTTTAGAGACTCTGTTCTTACTCATTATGAGAACAGATAAGCAAGAGCATTGTGAGAAAAATATATTTAAATACAAGTATATATTTAGGTGTTATGTAGATATTTCTAGTTCCTATTCATTTGTTCCTTAGCATTGGCAGTTGCTACTCAGCACCTCCTGACTCTGTGACTTAGTTAGGGCCTTGCTCCTGCATCCTCCCCCGCCCTCCTCAGCAGATTTCTGCCCCTGCCTCTCGCTGACCCGAATTGTCACTGCAGTTGCAGTGCTGGTTTCCTAGGTGGGGAAGGTGCTGGGGCAGTCCCAGTGGTGCATGTCTTACTGCGGCTCTGGAGAGGTCTGCCCAGCTCCGAGAGCCAGTGCATCTGGCTTTGTCTCCAGACTCCAGGTGGTTCCCGCCCCTGGGCTGCAGCCTCCTGCCCTGAGCTTTTCCTTAGCTGGCTGGGTGCCTCCTGTAAAGGTTAAGGAGATGAAGTTGGAACTGTGACCTTCTGCGCCCAGCAGCAGGCAGACATGGAGACAGCAGAGTTCCCCAGGGGAAAGAGTCGCACTTACTGAACTCCCTGATAAATCATGCGGTGCCTTCACGGGCTACCCCATGAAAAACACGTGAAGCTGCGTGTGTGTGTTACACAGCAGCTTCCGTGTGCCCCTTTGAGAACAAGACCTGCCAACTCTAATTGCTTCCTGGGGTTTTTTTTTAAATGAAGACAAAGGAATTCTTTTCAAATGCAAATGTACCAGTTGAATTATATTAAGGCCTTAAAAATGGTCAGTTGCCCTTTATAATTTTGAAAAAAAAAATTGGATTCACAGAAGGGCACCCCCGGATCCAAGTCAATATTAATTTTCTAGGACACCCTTAAGAGGTGCCAATTTGAAAGCAAATTCAACCATATCATCACCCAGTAAAACCTAAGACTCCCCTGTGCCCAGGCTTATGACCCCTGCCTGCTTCTCTGCCTTTGTCCCCTCTTCCCCCTCACACTTCCTGCTTCCTCCCACCGGGCCAAGGACACCCTTCCCCGTGGAGCCAGGGCGGCTGGTCATGGCCCACAGCCCTGCCTGCCTGTGCCCTGGCTGCCCTCCCTGCCCAGGAAACTCCTGCTGCTGTCCATCTGACCATTTCTACTCATCTTGTAAGACTGAAGTGGGTCTATTCTCTGAAGTCTTCATTGATCCCTAGCCCCTCGGCTTTGAGTGGACATCTCTCTCTTTCTTCCCCTGTCCCTTGCTCTCATTGTCTGATATGGTACAGCCTGCATTTCACTAAGAATCTGCTCACCTGTTTGGTGGTCAGCCCAGGCTCCTGTAACGGGAGGTCAGAAATTATGTGATTCGCGTTTGATTCCCTGGCCCAAGATAAAACCTAGATACTGTTACCGAACAAGAGGAGGTCCGAGGGAGGGGCAATACAATATTTGGCCCACCTAGGGATGCCCAAAACTGCTGTACAACAGGGGCCCCTCCCAAAAACCAAAATAC